AGCTCCCCATCATATGCCGTCACCTGGCCTTCCAGGACATGGGGCAGAAAGGAGTAATAAGGAGGTGGAAGAACTGGACAAAGTGACCTTGACTGACTCCCGTTTCCTGTGTAAATTTAAAATTTCCTCCCAGGACCTGATTTTATAGCTAGAAGATAATGATTCAATTACATATTATGTGGGAGAAATATTGGAGAATCCAAACTCAAAAAAATTGTGCTTCAGGGAGCCTGGAATACATATGTCTTCTTCCTTTAGAGATTCAGAGGAAGGAGAGATTAGTAGCCTCTTACTTTCTCAGTCATTTGGAATTTGGGTCTTCTGGGGGAGGGGCAGGTGGAGACTGGATTAGGGAGAAAGAGAGCAGGTTTTAGGGGAGGACTAATAATTCCTAACACTACTTCCTGGGCACTGGGCCTACATCCCTTTCTTTGCTCTTTCAACACTGTGAGATAGTTGTTATTAACGCCATTTTACAGATGAGGAACCATAGACTCAAATGAGTTGCTAATGTCACTCAGTGGTTTCCAACCCAGTGCTTTCTCTTTTTTCTTTTTTGAGACAGAGTCTCGCTCTGTTGCCAGGCTGCACTGCAGTGACCCTCTCAGCTCACTGCAATCATCTCCTGGGTTCAAGTGATTCTCCTGCCTCAGCCTCCCGAGTAGCTGGGACTACAAGCGTGTGCCACCACACCCAGCTAATTTTTGTATTTTTTTTAGTAAAGACAGGGTTTCGCCATGTTGGCCAGGATGATCTCAATCTTGACCTTGTGATCCGCCCGCCTCGGCTTCCCAAAGTGCTGGGATTATAGGCATAAGCTACCGCCAGGCCTAACCCAACTCAGTGCTTTTTCTACTGAACTTGCTTGTGGGAACAACTGGAGAGAGAGTGAAGCAGGAAGGATAAGATGAGGTTGAGCTGAGAAGGGAGTGCATGGGGCACAGTGAAGGGAAGGCACACCAAGAGAAAAGCCCTGCCTGTGAGCCAGGGCTGGGGGCTGGGGTGAGAGAAGCAGCACCAAGAAAGATAGGATTCCTTTTTTAATTTTTGGTTTTTTTTTTTTTGGGGGGGGACGGAGTTTCGCTCTTGTTACCCAGGCTGGAGTGCAATGGCGTGATCTCGGCTCACTGCAACCTCCACCTCCTGGGTTCAGGCAATTCTCCTGCCTCAGCCTCCCGAGTAGCTGGGATTACAGGCATGCGTCACCATGCCCAGCTAATTTTTTCTATTTTTAGTAGAGACGTAATAATTTTAGTAGTGAATAATTTTTATTTTTCACCATGTTGACCAGGATGGTCTCGATCTCTTGACCTCGTGATCCACCCGCCTCGGCCTCCCAAAGTGCTGGGATTACAGGCTTGAGCCACCGCGCCCGGCCCGGGATTCCTTTTTTAAAAAAACGAAACAAAACAAAACAAAAACCTTTCGCGTATCTTGCTGGAAATGTGTATTTGGGATCCACTGAGGCTCATTCACATGAGACTTAGAAGCTGTATCAGTAACCACAATGGGTTTACATTATTATTGTTGTCTCTGATTAGCGCATTTGACTTACCTCAGGATACCCAAAGGAGAACAGAGGGAACTGGGGGGGCTGAGAATTGACACCCTACAAAACCAGCACCTCAGTGGAAAGGGGGAATAGAGCCCAGGAGGGATGTGGGGGTGAGGGTTTGCGTCTGGCTTATGTGAGCATATGGTGTGTGCATGTGGGTGTGTGGGTGGGGTTGTCAGGAGAGTGACGGGTGACTGTGTTTGTGAGCTGTGTGTGTCTGCTTATGAGGGTGAGAAACTGAGTGGTGTGTGACCTGGTGTGAGGTTGGATATGTGTCCCTCCATGGTGGGTGGGAAGCTCGGTCGTGACATCAGGGACACCTGGCTATGTATAGATATAAATCCACTCTAGGAACAGACACTCCTGGATATGGAAGGAGGTTACCAAATGCAGACATCACAGTGACACTGCTGAGTTCTCCCCACCCCCTCTGTGCCAGATCGAATCTCCTCCAATTGAACCCCACAGGAGAACTGTGGGATTGGGGTGCAGGGAGGCTATGTTAAAAGGGGATCAGGAAGGCCTCCCCAGTTACCAGTTAGGAAATTTCCTCTCTTGTATAATCACACCTCTGCCTGTGTCTAAGAATTTTCAGTTCTATGCTTCAGATATTGTTACATCTACTATTTTTACGGGAAACCAAATTCTAAGCTGGTTTCTTTACTCATTTCTCTCCTCAGCCCCCGATTTTAATACCCTTCTATTGAATTCTAGGTCCAGGAGGCCAAAGGCAATTTTCTCCCAAATATTTGACCCCAGTTTTGCATTACCAGCCACACCCTCACTCTGGGACAAATTCTCCTCCCACCCAATTCCAGGCATGGAAAGGGTTTTGTTGATAAGTACTTACAGTCATAGGAAACATCCTAGTCAGGAAGCCATGGGAGAGACAGAAACAGAAAGAGCAAATCTGACCAAACCAAGGTCCAAGGTTTGGGTGTCTCCATTTATGAGTGACACAAATCTCCCAGCCTCATTTCAGATATGTGTATAATGAAGATAAGAAACCCTTAGGGTTACTGTGTGCGGAAAATGAAGAATTCTATATAAAAGATCATATACTATGTTATGACACTCATGGGTAAAGGGTAATTCTTAGATTGCAGAAAGGTTAAAGGCTGTAGTTTGGAAAGACTGAGAGCATGCGATTGGTTTCAGAATGTAAAAAGGGCACCTCTCTGGCGTGTTCCGGGCTGATGATCTCACCATATTTAACTTGAGGAATTTCCTCCTTTTCCAGCTTTGGGACTCAAGGAAGGACTCCTGGGGACCTAGGTAGGGAGTGTCTGAAGCCTTGGGAGAGGGGGCACAGTCCTTGGGAAGCCTGATAAAGGGAAGAGGCTGGAGTCCACGTGGCAGAATTGCTATTGTTTTCTTTCTCCTTAACGGTATTAAGACTTATTGGTAAGAGCACTTAGGATTGGTAAACTGACTTACATAGATAAATACAGCATGTGTAAATGATAATTTCAAGCTTATGCCATTAATCTCCTGGATTCTAAGTAACTAAAAACACAGTTTATTAAATAAAAGGACAAGTGAGGTAGTGGCTGTAATTAACAAATCCTATAGAGACCTGCCTGTCAGAATGCAGACTTGTCTCCATAATTGAGTGACTTTAAGAAAGGATGTCTTCTCTCCCTTTGCCTCACAAACCAGCATCTCCCCAGTCCCCAATGCGACTCCTAAGGTTGGCAACCCACCTGAGATGCATGGGCCCCTATGTCTGAAAGTCCTTTTTTAAGTCTGCACATTCAAGGTTTGAAAATTGGGGTCTGGTTATTTATTTTTTCACCTACCTTCACTTGAATGTTCTGGGAACGGATTGACCTTCTCACCTCCCTTCCTTTGTTATTGAGACCTCAGAGATCTGGGGTGGGGGGGATATAACAGTGCCTCATCCAGAGACAGGGTGTGCCAACTTCCCTAGGAGATCATGAGTTTAGGTTAACACTTTAAAATCACTGGAGGGAAGGGGCAGACAAAACTATAAAAACATTCTTGGGGCTTTGAGGAGAAAGAGGAGCAGAGTTATGGAAGGAAGGGTGGGTGGGTGCATATTTAGATAGGAGAGATAAGGGATAAGGGGGAACCCCCTCCTTGCCACTCAGGCTCTCCCAGGGCCTAAGTGACACCCCCTCCTCCTCCTGCCCTAATCCCCCCATTAAGGCAGCTCTGAGTTTGTTATGACAGCGGCTGAAGGCTGCTGAATTGCTGTTTGCTGTGTCTGCTAATTGGACTGAAGGGTTGGAGTCTGGACACTGAAAGGGACCATTGTTGCTGTTTACCTTCCACAGCCGCCTCCCTGGGGACCCTCTGGGTAAAGGGGAGCAGCAGCACCCCCTTAGGGTCATTGCACCCATTCCCTGCGCAAGGGACTGCAGTGGGGAGACAGTTCATCTCATTGCCTTGGGGTGGTTTGAGCTTTTACAGCACAGAGGAGACAAGGCAACACCTGAGCCAGTCTCATCTCCAGGCCAGGCCTTGGGGCCATCCAGGAGCTCCCAGGAGAGAGGAGTTACATGCTTGTCTTTCTCCTCCCTATTCATTCCCTTCTTCTTTAGGAATCTTTGCTCTGCCTCTTCCTCCAGCTAATGAGGCTTCGCCCTTGCACCTTTTCTGACCCACTTTCTTCTAGGTCAGTGATTCTCAGCTCGGTTATGCACTGAATCACCTGGGGAACTTTTATTTTTATTTATTTATCTTTCTTTTTAAAAAATTTTTTAAATAAATATGGAATGCTTCATGAATTTGCACGTCATCCTTGCACAGGGGCCATGCTAATGTTCTCTGTATCATTCCAATTTTAGTATATGTGCTGCCGAAGTGAGCACCACCTGGGGAACTTTTTAAAAAAATGTTGATGTTTGGGCCCAGCTCCAGACCAATGAAATCAGAGTATGTGGAAATGATGCCTAGGCATCATTATTATTTAATGTGCACCTGGGGTTATGAACCACTGATACACGTTCACCTCTCCACCTGGGAATCACATACACACACATGCATCCATGTACCCACATGCCTGTGTATGTGTACATGTGCACACACAAACACACCCCTTCTTTGCCTGCCTTTCCTCCCAAACTCCTGATATCTATAATACTATCAGGCAGGTTGTATATCTTTTTAATTATTATTACTAAATTCCTTGTAGGAGCCTTAGAGTTTAGAATGGAATTTAAAGGTCTGTACTTTATCTCACCTCAATCTGAGCTCTTCCCCAAGGGGAGGGACTATGATTCCATCTCCCAGTGGATTTCCAAATGGTATCTAGAGGAAGACTGAGCTAATCTGGGGCACTTATCAATGACTTTTGTGCTTTTCCTTCCTCAAAGTAATATTGGCGATTTGGAGGTCTTCACAGAGGAGAAACTTTCTTCAGGCATCATATTTGCCTTTTCTTACTGTTTCCAAATGTTTCTGCTGCTTCTCTTCCCTTTAGCTTCTCACCCAGGGCGGGTGGGTGCTCCACCCTCCACCACCCTACCGCCCTCCTTCCGCTGTGTGGATGACAGAGCCACATCCAGCACCACGGACAGCTCCCGGGCGGTGAGTGAGATGGCTGTGCTGACCCACTTCGAGATTGTTAGGAGGGACCCTCCTGTCTGCACAGTCAGCTATCAAAGCCTCTACATTTTTGAATCTGTGGGGGTTGTTTGCAGTCAGCTGTGGAGTCTCAGGGAGAGGAAAAGCTGAGGGAAATTGGCATTCCTGTCTCGGTGCAACTGGGTTTGTCTTCATGTTGGGGAGTCTGAATGAGAAGGGCTGATCCAGTAGTAGAAAGAATGAAGGTTATAGTTCAATAATGATTTAACTTCAGTCATGTAAGATATGGAGGGTATAGATCACGTAGAGCTGAAATGAGCTTTAGGTATCATCAGCCCTATATTCCTCATTTTACAGATCCCACGGGAGTAGAAGGGGTGTGATCAGGTTGCCCAGCTGGTTATCGGAAATGCCAAGATCCAGGCTCCTGAATTTCAGCCTGGCCCTTTCTATCTGTCTCTTACCTCCTTTAGGAGCCTCTCTGCCTGGGTTGGGTGGACCGGGCCTGGTGCTAGTTGGGGGAGTTTGCAGGTTGCCTCCATACAAAAGAGGACAAGATGCATGACTGGGCTTTCGAGGTGTTCAAAAAAGCCAGGAAAAGGTGGAACAGGCTGCTACCTCTGTCTGAGGTGGTTTGGAGGGAAGGCCTCAGGGACAGGGAAGGCATACCTAGCAGTAGCTGGCAAGCCCATGGGAGAAAAGGCAAGGGGGCAACCATCTGCCAGGGCACAGAAGCCAGTAGATGGCCACAAGGAGTCTCCAGAGGCCAGCGGGAGTCATGCAAACTGGAACGGGGCCTGGGAAAGGCCCTTCTGTGTGCCCAGGCCTGCTCCCCCAACACCGTGAGCCTAGAAACAAAGGGGCCATTTTCTCTAGGATTTGATGCTGCCATCTCCGGCTGGCAGTGCCAGGTGGTGGGGGCATCAGGGGGTGTCAATCAATTATACCCCCCAAACTCCTAGGTCCTCTGGGGCTGGATGTTGGGGAGGTGGGTGTTCCATGCTTTGTTGCCATGGCAACCGCCCCCCTAACCCCCAAAGTACAAAGAGAGACAGCTTTCACCACCACCCCCAGGAAGAACCTGGTCTGGCTGGGAATCTTCCCTTGAGAATCCTCCTTTCTGATGCACAAGCCATGGCATGCATAAGCATCACCCTCTTTTCAGCACTGGGAGCTGAGGGTTCTGCTATCAGCAGGCCACATAGGCAAGGAGGCTGGTGCATGCAGTGTCTCTGGGCAAGGTTATGCAAGTGAGCACCGGCCCCTTATACTTAACCCCCTCTCTTCCCAAGCTCTCCTGCCCCTCAACTACCACAGCCAAGGACATCCCAGGCCTTCTGGGCTGAAGCAAAGGGGCCTTGACCTTCTACTCTTTCCCAGACATGAGGGACACCCAGCTACCTCCAGCAAACCTCCAGGCTGTGGGAACAGAGAAGAGGAGGGGGCCATTCCTGCCACCCTCCATCTGCACCCTCCGCCATTACTCATTAGGCATTCTGCCCCCTCCTTCCGCTCGTTAAGCCTGATTTGCATATATTTGCATAATACAGTTCATTTGCATTCCAGGAGGCTCATGGTAGAAGCCAGGAAAAAAAGGGGAGGGGGGCTGGAGAAGAGAGAAAAGGGGAGATATTTTGTTTTCATCAAAGTGTGGGGGGAGGGACCAGGGGGAGGTGGCAGGAAGAGGACAGAAATAAAAACTTACACTACTTTCTTTCTTCCTTTCTGCCCTCCCTCCCTGAGCTGGACTCAGATGCCAAAGAGAGATGCCAAGGGGCCGGCTTTTCTGTCCTTTTTTGTCTTGTTTCCTCCGGCCTTGGCTCCCCAGCCTGGCCCCCCACCTTGTTGGGCTCAGGCTTCAGAAAGAAAGAGGCAGGGGTAGGAGGCAGGGCTGTGGGAACGGAAGCGGAGGGTGAGGGAGGCCGCCATCTTAGGTAACTGGCGCCTGTAAGATGGCTGCCCCGACAGGTGTGCGCCGAGAGCCGGCCCTGGGTGGTGGACATGGAAAAGCCTGAGGCCATAGGAAGGACTTCCTGGCTGATGAGAAATATTGTTGAATTTTCCTGCTAATGGAATTAGGAAGAGAGGATGGGGAGAGAAGGAGGGAGGGAGAGACCAATGGCGGCCCGCGGAAAAGCTGTAAGGTCGAGCACAGGAGCAGGGGTGGTAGAGAGGCCTCAGCACTGGGCTTAGTTCCCAGAGGACTTAGAGGACTGTGGGTAATGTGAAAAGTACTGGAGGAATCAGAATGGGGAGTATCAGCAGGAGGAGGGAGAGGGTAAGATGTAGGCAGGCAGTATCACCTACCAGCTTGGGGGCCTCTCTGGGGCGGTGAAAGGTGACTGCTACTTGAGGTGATGCTCCACCTTCTCCTCAGCGCAGCACTCTGGTTTCCTCTGGGAAACCTGCACCCTCTCAGAGGCCACTCACAGCCTCCTCAACAAAGATCACTGGCCCTTCCCAAGGCCAGTCCTCCTTGACCTCTGTGGAAGATGTTACGCTGTTTTCTCAGTCTTCTTTGGCCTTTGGTTCTTCTGTTCTATCCATGATTGTCTGTTCTTGGTTCCATTCAGTCTGTCCTCTGGATGTGCCAGTTCCTTTAACTAGAGGTGGGGCCCAGATTTTGCTGGTGGTGCTTTTTTCCTCTTCCTTCTCACTTCACATTTATCAGTTCAACCATCACCTGAAGTTAGAAATTCTCTCTCCCTCCTTTCTTTTCTTTTCTTTTTTTTTTTTTTTTTTTTGAAACGTTTTTTTCTTCCTCTTTTACCCAGGCTGGAGTGAGATACAGCAATGGCTCAATCTCAGCTCACTGCAACCTCCGCTTCCCAGGTTCAAGCGATTCTCCTGCCTCAGCCTCCTGAGTAGCTGGGATTGCAGGCATGCAGCCACACCCAGCTAGTTTTTGTATTTTTAGTAGAGACAGGGTTTCACCCGTTCTCCCATTTTGGGAGGCTCAGGTGATCCACCCACCTCGGCCTCCGAAAATGCCAGGATTACAGGCATGAGCCACTGCACCCAGCCTCTCTCCCTCGTTTCTTTAGTCTTGACCTCTCCTAAACTCCAGATTTGCACCCCTAACTGCCAGCTACCACCTGTGGTCCTGCCATTTGTCCCCAGATCAGGAACTGGGACGGTACTTCCGCTTGGTCAAGCCTGGATCACAGACCTAGGCTCTAGCTGCAAGGAGGGCCCAGAAAGTACCCGTGTTTGTAGCTTCTGTAGTGGCTGCGAAATACAGCCTCCCACCAAAACCCAGGAGGGCGGTTCAGATGCTCCCTCCGCATTGTGCTTCTGCTGCCTTACCTCTGTCGGCAGCCTCGTTAAACTCCTAGGCCCTCAGGTTCAACTCCTGAACATTTTCCTGGGCTTGTCCCCACAGTCAAATCAGTTACATCAAAATCCATCACTTCTTCCTGTGTAGCACCTCTCTCATCCATACCCTTCCCTCCGGTACCCCTGCCTCCATGTCAGCCCATTCATTCGGCAGGCACTGAGGGCCTCCTGTGTGCCAGGAGCTATGCTCAAGGGGAGCGTCAACTACAACGCTGCTTTGAGGAGCTGGCAGTCTACTGGGCGAGGCAGACGCACGACTGATTAGAAGACGGTATGGAAAGCATTATCCTGAAGGCCTGCACAAAGTGATGTGGGAGCATGGGGAAGGGAGCTCAGGAAGGCTTCCTGGAGGATGCGAAGATATAAGCAATACAAGATAAGCAGGTGTTTGGCAGTCTACAGAGTCTGGGAGGTGGGTGGTGGACAGTCCGCAGCATTCGAGAAGGCAGGGAGGTAAGGAAGAGCAGGGGGTGTCTGGGGACTAGCGTGACCATCGCAGGGAGTCTGTGCTGGGAGGAAAAGGGAAACAGAGGCAGGAGGTCCCCTGTAAAGCGCCTTATGTGCTATACCAGGGAGGCCGCGGCAGTTAGCTGACAGCCGCAGGAGGGCGTGGCTGGAGACCAACACATAACCTCTCCTGGGAGGGAACGGGACTCCTGCATCTGGCTGCCCACTGAGCCCAGCCAGACATTTAACTGGCTCTCAGCTAGTTCCAAACAAATGAAGGACGTCTGAAAGACCTGGAAGCCACCTGAGGAAGAGATCTTTCTACCACCCCCCTTCAGAGGCCCTCCTTTCCCCCCGCACCCAACATGCGGAGACAGCAGGCTTGTGGGAGCTCTCTGGGGAGAGATGTGGAGAAGCAGAGGTTGGCGTCCCCCAGCACAATGGACACCCTGAGGTCTGGGCAGGCGAGGGGCCGCTGGGGGTGGGGACAGGGAGACTGCTCTGACTTTGTGGGGCAAGAAGCTAGTCTCTGAGTTCTCTTATAAAAAAAAAAAAAAAAAGGTTCAGTAGTCAGGGCTGTGTGGCTGAGGGGGCCGGAGCAAAGCAGCAGAGAAAGGGCTCAGCCCTGGAGTCCTGAGGGAGGGAGTTGGGGGTGAGGTGGTAGCCAGGATCAAGGCCTGAAGGAATTCTTCCTCGAGAAAGGGGATGAGAGGCTGGAGAGGCAGGTGGGAAGATGGAGAGGCTGCTGCTGGCCGCTGGGCGGAATGTGAGTGGGGGTGCTCACCACCGCCCATCCCCCAGGCCCGGCTTGTGCACAAAGACTCCTCTGTGAGTGGCCATGGAAGTGGCCCTGTCAGGTGAGGGGGCTTAGCTCCCAGGGAGTGGGGCAGAATGGGGCTGGAGAGGGGAGGGCTGAGAGGCAGCCTCAGGCTTTAACCAGGTCTGGGCAGGAAGCAGAGAGAAGCTGAAGCCAGGCCGGGGTCTCACGGCGAGGCCGTCCATGGTCTGGTCCAGCCGTCCCAGGATGGGTTCCTTCTCATGATCCAGGGCCCCCGCACCCAGGACCTGACCTGCCCCTGCCTTCTCCCCATGTCTTCCAGGCCGTAGCTCCCGATCCTTCCAGGCCTCTGCAGTCTCCTTCCCAGCTCATACATGCTCTCTCCTGACGCTCTTGGGACTGAGCCTGCTTGAGCTTCTCGCATCTTCCCAGCATGGGGTCTCCCTCCCACTCTCGCTCCAGGGAGGGCTGTGTTGGGAGGGTGGAAAACAAGATCCACCAGAGCTAGAAGGGAGTCCCAGGCCACCCTGGCTTCCACACCCACTCTTACCTTCCCCCAGAGAGGCTCCTCTCCTGGCCTGGCCTCAGTGTCACTTACTGCTAATCAGTAATATGTAGAGACCTTCCCTCCACCCCCGCACCAGTCCCTCCACCCCAAGCCCTTGTTGGGCACATTGGCCCTTTTTGAAGACGGAGTCTTGGTGTGTCACCCAAGCTACAGTGCACTGGTATGATCTCGGCTCACCACAGCTTCCGCCCCCAGGTTCAAGAGATTCTCCTGCCTCAGCCTCCAGAGTAGCTGGGACTACAGGCACCTGCCACCATGCCCGGCTAATTTTTGTAGATTTAGTAGAAACAGGGTTTCCCCTGTTGGCCAGGCTGGTCTCAAATTCCCAAACTCAAGTGATCTGCCTGCCTGGGCCTCCCAAAGTGCTGGGATTACTGCAGGTGTGGGCCACCGTGCCCGGCCCGCGCTGGTCCTTCTAGTGAATCTTTGGGTTCGGGGTGTGTGATGCAGTAGAATGCTGGCAGACACCACCTCAGCTTGCTACCGGGTGTGATACTCAGTGGAGCTTTGTCCGCTGAAGGACAGCTAAAGAAGGAATTTTTGGTTTTTGACTCTGGAATTGGACAGGCTGGTCAAGATACAAATTCTGGCTTCCCCCACTTATTCGCTGGGTGACCTTAGGCAAGTCCCTTCATGTCTTTGGACCCTAACTGCCTTCCTTGGTTATGCTGAAGATGACATGGGGTGATGGGAGTGAGTGTTTACTAAGGCTGTGTGCAGATGTTTAGTGTTAAATGCTAAGTGCAGAGGGACACGGTTCTAGGGGCCATGGAGGTAGGTGGGGGCAATCGAGGACAACTTCCCGAGCTGCGAGGGCCGCGGATCACTGGGTGCAGTGCGTAGCGGAAGCCTGACTCAGAAATGTGGCTGGGCCCTGTGGCTGGGGCTTTCGTGGTCTCAAGGAGGTAAGCATCTTGCTGACGCAATTTCGAGAGGCACCCGCTGTTTAGGGTTAGGTAGTGAACTCCACTGACGGCAGCTGCTTTCATCTGCTGGCCAGGTGCACATGCTGCCCAGCGTACCAGGAGGAGGGGACAGGTAGGGTGCAGCTCAGCCATGTTGCCCCAACCTGCCCTGCTGCCTCCCTGCAGCCCTCATCTCGTCCTCCGGGCAGCACAAGCCGCTGTGGAATCTCCACAGAGGGCACACAATGGTGCCTCCGCATCCTGCCACTCAGGACCTCTCAAGTCCCCGATATGATGGCTCCTTGGCATCGTCAGGAGTGAGCGTGATTCAGACCTATTTAGATCCGTCAGCCCATGGGTCAGGGGGACCTTGAGCAGGACAGTCTTTTGTCTCCAAGCAGTCATTCCTTGTTATACAAGCAAGAGTCAGGAGGAGGAATGGTTTTGGCATCATCCCCCACAGACAGCAATGGGGCCTTTAGGCCTGGAGGGAAGGACCAGGCTGAGGCTGGCATATGGAGGTTGAGCCCTGGGCACGGGGCATCAGCTTCACCCGGCTGGGGATGCCTTCTGCTGGGTTTGTCCATCTGGCACCAGCTGGCTTCCCAGCACCGCCCCCACAACCAACCAGCCTCCTTCTTCTGCTGTTGCCATGACAATTGGCTGCCATATTGTACTCAGCGCACTAGCTCCTAACTGGATTTTCCCGTGGGGTTCCTAGAGGGTGGGAGATGGGTCTCCAGGGATTTATCCCTTCCTCCTGATACCCATCCAATAAAAATTCATAATAACATATGATTTTTAAAAATAGCCAAAGTGGAGGATTACTATGTGTCAGGCTCTGTGCCAGACACTCTCTACATGTTATTTAATGCAGCTAAGAAAGAATTAATGAGATAGAATTCAAGAGGTTCCCATCCAGTTTCCTGCAACTAAGATAGACTTTTCCTCTCTCCAACCAGGAAACTCCATGATCTTCGTATTCCCGTCTTGGGAAGTCCTTCTCAATATCTAACCAAGATCTACACGGCTGTAGCACCAGCCCTTCGGCCCTTGGCTTGGCCTGGCTGAGTTGAGAGGTAAGGAAGAAATACCACCTACCTTCAGTTACTTCATAAAGGTTAGCTATTAGAACAGGGAAACAGAACTGGCTCGCTTGGTGAGAGGTCTGAGCATCCCTTAAAGATTCTGGAGCCCCCACCCAAACCTTTTGTTTACAGAAGAGCCGTAAATGCCACGGAATGCTTTGAAATTTCCCCTCCATGCTCCCATCAGCACCCCAGAAAGAGTCAGGAGCTGGAAACTATAGAATAGGGATAGCCTCCCAGGTCCTCTGGGTACCGCCTTTGGAAGCCAGTCTCCCAGCTCCTGCCTTGAGGGGAACGTTCCAACAGGGTTTCAGAGAGATCCTGGGAGAGCGAGAGTCCCTTCTTTCTGGAGCTGAAGGCAGAGAATGGTCACCTTGACCTCGAGGGGCATCTGTAAGAGGCACTAAGCAGAGGCCAGCTTTGCTGAGGGAATCCTGAATGAGGAGCAGGTGGAGGGAAAAAGGAGGCCCTTCCCAACTGAGGAAGGATGGGCTGGGAGGGAGGGGCCGGGGATAATTTATGATGTCATTGTTGCCCCACCCCACTTTCTTCCTAGCCCTCTGCTACTGTATCCTTGCTAGGAGAGCCTGGTTCTGTCTGGGGCTGGAGGGTGTAACAGGCGGGAGCCTGTGCCATCTGTACCCCTCCTCCCCCACCAGGGGAGGGCCCCGCATGGAGCTGCATACACCACCCCTTCCCAAGCGCTGACAGACACCAGTCTCTTCTATCGTTCCCCCAAATCTAGCCACTCAAGGGATAGCAGGGCTCCCAGGTGGGCTGAGGATCTAGAGCAAGGAATGGGCAAGAGAGTGTGGGAGGAGAGACCCTGGCAGACTTAGAGGGGCTGAGGAACAGCTGGCCTACCTCGAGACCTGGGAGCCAGCCTGGGCCAGGAAGGGGGCCAGAGGGAGTCAGGGCAACAAGCCTGGCAGAGCCCAGGTTTGGGGAAGACAAAGTCCTTACATCTGAGGGGCTCCTGATAGGATGGACAAGGCAGGCCTCTCATCCCCACTCTTCCATACTGTCAAGGTCCAGGTTGGAGATCTGGCAAAGATAGGGGGAGGAGGAGCTGGGGCAGGGAGGAGGGCAGTGAGCTGGGAGGGGCTGAGGAGAGTCTAGGAAGAAGGAGGGAGACACTGGTCTAAGTGGGGCTGGGCCATGCAGGGCCGTGGCTGAGATCACCTCCTCTGTCTGAAATTCTCTTCTCAGATCCTTAGACGCTTGGAGAAGCCGAGGGAGGTGAACTTTGGGGTTTCCAAAGCTGCTGGCTCCCAACCCTGGATGGGACAGGAAAGGAAGGCTGTTCCCACAAGCTGTGCCTGACACCTGATTCCTGTACAGCCCCTACGGGGTTTATCTGCCTTTCCTGGACATAGCTTCCCCACCCCGGGAAGGAAGGAGCTGACCCTGATTTGCACCTATTTGGTTGTGTAAGCCCTTTCATAGCCATTGTCTCAGCCAATCTTCCCAACGGCCCTGAAAACCGGGTGATACTGTCCCCACTTCATGAAGGAGGAATGGAAGCCTCAGGAAGGCTAAGACTCTCCCAGAGTCACAGGTCTGGTAAGTTGGGCTGGGCTTCAAGTGGGGCTTCATAGACCCCAAAGCATATGTCCCCTTCCTCCCCTGTGCTGACTTCTGAAACACCAATGGAGGGACTGAGAGAAGAGAGGACCCGATAGGCAGGTGGAATTCTTGGCATGTTCTTGGATGTAGGGGTCAAGTCTAAGGGATGATAAACATCTTGAAGGTTGAAGACAGGATTGGGGAAGAGGCCATGGGAGCTGTGGAAGTGACCGAAATTCTTCCGGACTGGTCCTTAGCCCACGTGCAGCCTGCTCCCTGACTTCCTGAAGCAAGCCGCTGGGCTCCCTGCCTAATCTCTCCTGTGCTTGGGGTCTGAGTTTCTGCCCTAGGTATTCCCCCCACCCCCCATTGCCTTGGATAGAGCACCTAGAAGAGGTGCTTAGACTCAAGCCACTGTCATGGTGGATCCCTTTGTGATGACTCCGTCCCTAGCTCCTCACCTTGCCTGATGGAAGCAAGCTTCTTCCAAGACTGCTGGAAGTTTGATCTCTGCCTCCTCCTAAAGTCTCCATCCAAAGAGTATTTTTCCGCTGCACGCGGTGGCTCACACCTGTAATCCCAACACTTTGGGAGGTCAGGAGTTCGAGAGCAGCCTGGCCAACATGGCAAAACCCCATCTCTACTAAAAATACAAAATTTAGCCGGGCATGGTGGCGCATGCCTGTAATCCCAGCTAGTCAGAGGCTGAGGTACGAGAATTGCTTGAACCTGGGAGGCAGAGGTTACAGTGAGCTGAGATCCACTCCAGCCTAGGCGACAGAATGAGACTCCAACTCAAAAAAAACAGTCTTTTTCTTTACACTTGATAATTTTTCTTTTCAGACCAAAAAGAAAACTTACTTCACCCACTTGGATTCCCTCTGAGAAGCCGTCCCAATTGTCCAAAAGATGAGGCTAGGCTCTAGCAAGTCAAAGTCGAGCCAGCTCCTTCAAGAAGCTTTGAGCAGAATCAAAGTGGGAAGGACCCAGCTTCCAGCCCAGGCAGCCCATTGTACCTGGAGCCGTCTGGGATAGGACTTTGATCCATGACTCTCATATTCTCAACCTGTCCATCTTGGCTCATCCCAGTTTATCCTGTATCATTTGAGCTAGGATTCCCACATTCTCTAAGATGGAAGTCCCATCTCAAGTCTTCAATAAAGACTCTTGAATATTGAATTACATTAATAGTGGTGGTGGATATACCTGTACAGGGTTGGAAGGGGAAGGGCTGAAAGAGAGGGGGCGATACTGGGACTTCCTTCGACAGAGATCCGTGATACAGAAGCCAACCTTGCAACAGAAGCAGGGGAGCCTCTAATACCAGAACTCCTACCTGGTAGGGGGTGGAGCCACGGGTGAACATCCTGGCCCCTTCCACCACCCTCAGCCACCCCAAGTTCCTGAGAACACCATCCATAATCTGGTCGGTCCCAAGTCTAAGTCATGCGCTAATGCTTCCAGCCAAGGAAGTACCTAGATGCCATGCGAGGGACCAAAAGAATGGGAGAGGGTGGTCACACTCCCCCAGAGTGCCTGTGTAGGAGGTCACTGAGTGGCCTTCTGTCTCCTCCACTAAAAGACTCTCAGAAATGTCCCCCTGGGTTTGAACAGACCACATAGATGGAGCACCCCTGCCCCAAAGAGTCCTCCGTTCCTGCTGCTTCTTTGTCTACCCTCAGTGGAAACATAAGAGAATGAATATGACTATTAAGAGGATTCAGATTAGACAGCAGGTAGGACTTCCCAACAATAGCAAGGCCTGAAGGGGAACTTGAGAGGGCAGGAAAGCCATAGCAAAAAACTAGGACTGTGCTCCTGATCCCATTTTCTCCATAACACATCTGTATCCAACATGCTCCCCCAAAAGATAGGCCTCTCCTCATCTCGAGAGCCTTGCTGGGGGATGTTAGCAGAGTCCAGACTACTGGCACCATTTAAGTTCCCCATCACCCTCGAGAAAGTCCTTCCTCCCTTCCGTAATCTCTCCACAGAACTACACTTTGAATCCTAGAAATTTTCTGAATGAAAACGCGTAAGATAATACACATGACACAATTCTAATGGTACAAAAGGGAAGTTACATCCTCCTACCCCTGCCCCCAGCCACCCACCTCCTCTCCCAAGAGGCAACAGCTGGTACCTACGTCCTTCCTGGGTTCCTCCATAGTCAACCAAGCACATATGTATAAATTCCTCCCTTCCTTTTAAACACTGACTTCAGCCTTTTCAGTTCTAGACCAGGCCTCCTAGCCCGAGGTCAATCTGGACCTCAGGGAATGCTTGCAAATTCTAAAATTGCATGCAGAATGCTGGCCAGGCGCCTGGGCACTATTTCCAGGAGGAAGGATCACGTCATGAGCCACCTGGTCTAGCCCAGTTCCTCATTTTATAGAGGAAACTGAGGCCAGAGAGGAGAAGGGCTATGTCCAGGGTCCTCTGCATGGTGGGGACCCACTGGGAGAGGAATCCCAGGGTTCCCCTGACCTGCACGTCCAGGAGCCCCAGAACCGTGACTCAGAGGGCTGACTGAGATGGAGGAGGAAGCAGTTTCCTTTGCATCACGGTCTGCCGTATCAATGGGGCTGAGCCGTCTCACCACACCTGGGCATTCATCAGTGCTTCTGAGGTTCCAGCCCTCATTTCAGGGCCCTCCCACCTCCTAGCCTTGTCAGGACCCACTGTGGCCCTTGGGAGGTGGGGTGACTGGAGGCAGGATCTGGCTTGAGGTCATCAGTAGGGAGGAAGCTTCCCAGGTCTGCCCACCCCTCCCCCCGCTTTTGTTTGTACCCCACAACCTGAGCATCAGTCTTCATGGTCCCCTTACCACGGTGTTGGGGGGCCTGAGCTGGGAGAGTCAGCCAGCCACCGTGGCCAGCCCTCTGCCTCCTCTCCTGGCCTCTGGCTTGGAGGGTAGGCTCCTGGGTAGGGGAGCAGGGCAGGCAGGAGGAGGTGGGTAGAAAGGATTCTTCTGAGCGAGCGACGTAAAGAAAAGCGGGACAGGGTCGACAGCAAGCAGGAGAGGGCCCCAGAGGGTGGGCTGCCTTTTGGAAACAGAATGATCCAGACCCAGACAGGGGCAGAAGGGGCGGGGTAGGGCCCCTCCCTGGACAGAGATGGCAGGACTGGGGTGGGAGGACCCAGGCAGGACACTCTGGAATGTGCTCTCAAGAGTCCCACTGAGCATATGCAGATGAGGCCTGTCTGTATGCAAATGAGCCCGTCTGTATGCAGATGAGGAGAGAGGGCATTCTCTTCTCAGGGTTACCATAGAGCCCACCTCCTCCCTTTCCCTCTGGGCTCCAGCTGCAGGGCAGTCTGGGAAGAGGCCAGGCCCGGGGAGAGGCAACCTGCAATCGAAGTTTAGATTTCAGGAAGGACGTACCAAAAAAATGGCTAGTTTTGGGAAAGGAACTGGAGATGAAATAGGGAATATAGAGGGGCTGCTGAGAGGGCCAGGTAAAAAGGATGGGGGTGAATCATGAAAGGACATCTCAGCCACAGGAAAACACAGGCAAACTGACAGAAAGCTTTGAAAGGGAGGCTGGGGAAGAGGAGGGGAGGAGCTGCGACTGAGCATCCGCTCCCTGCCAGGTCCCGCACGGTATACCTTCCACTCAGTCTCACTGGATCCCAGTGATAACCCTGTGAGGCCTTTTACAGATGAGGCCTGGAGAGGCAGAGAAGCTCGCCCACATCACACTGTTTGCAAGTGGCCAGGCCCTGGCCTGTCCGACCAGGCAGCCATAGCTTAAACCCTTCCCACTGCTTCCTGGCAGACACTGAACAGCTCTTCCTACCTGAGGGGAGAGAAGGAAGGGCACCAGGGTTGGGAGAGCTGTGCCCGGAGCAGGGGCCTGATGTACCCTGAGGGGAGGTCCGGTTGGGTCTCAGCCAAGGCAGGGCCAGCAGAGGTCTGAGAATTGCCAGTGCAGTGTCAGGGGAGGCTACTGGGGAACCTGGGTGGGCAGCAACCAAGAGGGGACCATGAGGGCTGGGAAAGATGCCAGGGACGATCCAGTGGGGAAACTGAGATCCGGAGAGGTTGGAACAGTTGCTCACTCACTCAGCAGATCCAAGTAGAAACTGGACCTAAACTCTGTCCCCTCGGCCCCCAGCCCATGGCCCCTTCCTAGGAGTGCTGAGGCTAGGGGTGGAGGGGTCTCCAAGAATAGCCTCTCCTCTTCCTCCGGTGGCCCCCGGCCCCCCACATCCAATGGCGTAGCCAAGGCCTTTGTGGAGAAGCCGTGGGGAAGAGAGGCCCCTTGTTGGCCCATTCATCGTGCCGGAGGCTCGGCTGATGCCAGCCCCCGGCACCGGCTGGGCTCTCCTTCCTGGGGGTGCCAGCCAGCCCCCGCCCGCTGCCACAGCCCGCTCCCCAGCTCTGTCGTTTCCTGGAGCCTCAGGGTTTGGCTGAGGTCCCGGCTGAAGGATGGCGGGGAGCCCCAGCCCCCACGCCCCCCGCACCTCGCCTTTCACACGCTGGCACCAGAGCCGTGGGAACGCTGGATGGCAGCTGGGCACCGGTGCCCGGCTCTGCCCACCCCCAGCCCAGGCAACCTCAGAGAGGAGGAGAGGAACAGGCTGCCCCCAAAAAAAGCCCCTCCAGGATGGGGCCCTAGAAATACTTAGCACTAATTATGAATCTGGGGACAAACAAGGCATTTGCAAGTCAATTAGTGACAGAACTTTCCCAGGAAAGAGGTTCATCCAGGCTCAGCTTCAGACAGGGCCACATGCTGGGTCATCTTGTCCCTCCCCCTGCCTCTGCCCCGCTTGAGGCTCCAGGGATATAGACCGACCCGGTGTTCTGCCAGCCCCAGTGTGGCTGAGGGTGCCTGGGGCCCTGAGTGGACCTGGGGGGCAGGAGGGCAAGGCTGACCCCTACTAAGGTCAACTGGAGGTCAAAATAGGGCTGTCACCAGGAAACATTCTGCCAGGGATCTGGCCTCAATTCCACCTGTGACAGAACCTGGTGGTGGCTCTTGGAAGGAGATGCCAAAGAGGCCATTGGCTCAGACAGGGTGGCCCGGGTGGGCTGACGGGAGAACAGAAGTCATCGTAAAGGGCCAGTGGGAGATGCTGCCCAGAGAACACAAAGACACCAGGACAAGAGGAGACCAACGGAGAAGACAAAGGGTCTTCAGGCATCTCAGCAATCGTCCCCCAGCCAGGAGGCACGCAGTGGTGGGGATTTCAGCTCTGCCTGCAGAGGAGCCTCCAGGTGGACCTGCATGGCTACCTGGGGTCACTGTCCCTGGAAAAAGAGACAAAGCAACAGATCTTGCTCCTCCCGGGGCTGAGAGGCCTTTAGCTGGGATAGGGGCTCTCTACCAAGAGAACCCCTTAATTGGGAAAACAGGGAGAAGGAAAGGGGCTGTGCTGGGCGAAAGCCCTAGAGCCAGCCCTGCCATCTGAGGGAGATTAAGGGATTATAATTAAAAGGTGTTTGAGGGGCTCCAAGCAGGTGGGTTGGGGCCGGTGCTAATGATCTAATTGCTGCTTCACCAGGGCTTCAGCCAGGGCCTGGCTGCTGGGGCTCCTAATGAGTCGGGTGTTTTTTTGAGGGAAGTGGAAGAGAAGAGGCGGAGCTGAGGGGCCAGGAGGGGAGTCTTTTTCTTCACTTTGAGCCCTCAGTGCACATGCTCACATGTTCTGGCCAGTCCTTCCCTTAATGCCCTCCCTGGGAAACCAAGATGAAGGCTGCAGCCTAATGGAATCACGGGAGGCCTGGAGAAGACTTCTAGGAGCCAGGAGTGAGCAATGAGGGGCTTAGATCTCCACAGAGAGAGGACACTCAGACAGGGGATGGTTAGGGAAAGAGGGGTGTCCTTGGAGTAATTAATAACAGAATGCAACTAAAAATGTAGTCTATGTCAGGCACTGTACTGAGCACGTGACAAACTGACTTAACCCTCACAACCACACGGCAAAGACTGAGGAGGAGACATGCTCCCACAGCTAAGCAGAGGTCAAGGGTCCCACAGACCCAGGGTGGCCCTTTTCAGGCCCTTCCTTCTTCCCGGGGAGGGACAGATGGTCAAAGCCTCTCTAGACTCTGAGAGTCTAGAGGCTAGGGGTCAACAGTGTGCAGACTGCAGCCCAAAGACCTCCGGCTACGGGAGTCCAGACTCACCTGGTTTGTGCAAGCTGCTTTCTTGCCTCTCGTGCAAAAAGCAAACTG